GCAAGCCTAGACTACAGAGTGAGTTCAAGTCCAGCCCGAATTACACAGTGAGACACTGTGTCAAAAACAAAAACAAACGAAAAAGGTGGAAAGACGTACCAAGTTTATGGATTGGCAAAATTAACGTTGTTAAAATGGCCATATTACCAAAAGCTCCCTTTAGATTAAATGCTATCCCCATCAAAATACCAATGACATTCTTCATAAAAACAGGAAAAAACAGATGAATGTGATGAGGCACGCCTCCTGGTTACCTCACCCACCACACTCTGCTCCACCCGCCTTCCCACCCTCACGCCCGTCAGTGGTCCACGAGCACTCCCTTGTGTTTGTTCGCTTCTGGATCAGGAGTATCTAGAACAGCGCCTCCATAAACCAAGCAGCCACTCGAGCATGCTGAATGCATGCACGTGAGACGCCGCGAACTGACGCGAGCCGCTCAGTCAGGGAGGGCGGGAGGAGTGCTGGCTGCAGAGAACCGCGTGCTCAATGGCACCAAGGACAGAGCGCAGAAGAGAGTAGAGTAGTGTGAGGAGAATCTGAGGACCCATGACAGCGGGCAGGGCCCTGTAGACTGGGGGTGAACTTTGGTCTTTTCCAAACAGCAGCAGGAAGCCATTAACCTAGGGAGTGACAGGATCAAGTGAATCTTTACGTAGTGCTGGCTTTGCAGTGAGATGACTGGGAGCAGTCAGGCGACTGGGAAGCGCCGGAGGCCAGCGAGTGCCCGAGCTCAGGTCAGAGCTGAGCCCACCCTGGACCGAGGAGCCAAAAGCGGACGGATGTGGAAAATAGGAAGTAAATTACAGAAATACTCGTGGGGTACAATCAACAGGTCTGAATGGCTGATCACTAGAGGAAGGAACGTGAAAGGGCACCCACCTAGTTTATGTGTGAGCTGGAAGGGCAATGACACAGTCAGTGTGTGAAGGGCTGGGGGTGGCAGAAGGACGTGAGAAGGTGATCTAGGGTACAGGTTGGGAAGCCCTGATCTGAGCTCGCACGGAGACATCCCGGTGGACACTTCCAGTTGGCAGTCAGATGTCTAGGCTTGTGGTGGATTCACTAATGGTCAACTCACAGCACCCAGCTAAACTGAATCAGCACGGTGCTGGGGGTGGAAGGCCCGCCTGAGGGCTGCTGCAGCAGCAGCATGAAAGGAGAACTGGAGGGGAAGATGGGGTGCTGTTGTTCTCCTGGAGAAGCTAGTCATGATGGTTTTCCTTATATCAACTCAGCTGTTATCGTCGGAGAAGCTTGGGACCTTGTCACTGAGGATGGCTGTGGTTCTCTTCAGGGGAGCTCTGCTCCTCGCTTTGAGCTTCCTGGCTCCAGTGCAGACCCCTCACCCTGCTGGCGCAGACCTTTCTTCCTGTTGGTGCAGACTTTCTAGCTTCCATCACTGACCTTTGGGCCTTCCCCGTGCAGGCCCTTGATACAGACTTGCATGTGGGACACTGTCGTGGGCTCTTGGCCTCCACTGGATTCATAGAATAAAAGACTATGGGCTCTAGGTCTTCAGCTAGACTCATGCAGGAACACCGCCGAGGGATCCAGCCCACAGCTGGATTCTTTGCGTCTCTAATGCGTGGACAGATCTCCGGCACCCTTTTGCACTTGGCTCTTTGGGTGAACGTTATCAAATAATCCTATAAATTATGTCCCCTGTATTAAGTTGTTTCCCTAGCAAGGGAAACAATTGACTACAAGGCAGGAGCGACCAAAACATGCAAAGGTGCGGGTGCAGCATGGCATGTAGCACAGGGCAGATTTGTGCCTGGTGGCTCACAGGGCACGGAAAGATTTTTAAAGAGTCACAGGAAAAGGTCTGTGATTCCGAAAACTCACCCTGGCCAGCAAGTAGAACAACAAGGGATGAGTAGAGTAAGAGATGGAGTGAAGGAGCAGAGGCTAAGCAAGAACTGGAGCCGTGGGGAAGAAAGAACACTGTCCCGTCTGTCACCACCCACCTCACACACACACAACTACCGCAGACCATGCTGGAGTAATCGGTTCCCCCACTTCCACAATCCTGAAGACAAAGCCACACTCCTGGAGACCATCCATGACTCAGTCTTCCGACCACCTCCTCCGACTGCCCAAGTCCCTGCCCCAATTCACCGCCCTGCCTCAGTTCCACTGCCTGGCTCGGGCCACGCGCTTCTGTCTAGCAATTCCCTGTGCATCTTCTGAAGACTCACTTCTTACACTATGAAGGCAGAAAAACAGCCCTGCCACCTAGGAGCCGGTCTGCTCCCCGGGCCAGGCCTTCACCTGGTGGGCAGCAGGCCCAGCAACCACATGAGGCCACGATGTCCTCCTGCTGGACACAAACAACCTTGCAGACACCAGCACAGGACACTCTGCAACAGTGGTAAAGTGACACAAAACAGGGGCACTTCACAACTTTGTATACACAGATAGAAACAAGGTCACTACGCCACCCACAAAATACCAAACGCCCTCCCTCCCAGCTGATGAGTGACCATGGCTTCTTCATGATTTAGCTTCAATGCTACTCTAGCCAAACCTCCTTGCAGACAAGACTGAGTGGGCTACCCCACCCAAGATTGGTCCCTGCGTCCTCTTGGCCAGGTGTAGGTTTGGTGGGTCCTAGGCAGAGTAGAGAGCTGACCAGAGGCACTGCATGATGGGCACAGTCAAGTGGGGGTCTAAGTCTGTCTTG